TATGAAGTCCGATACAAACCCGAGTGCGTAATGTCAGTGATGTGTTGCACGGTCACGTTGACGACACTTTATCCTTGAGGCGAACCTTTCAAGGGACTAGTCTGAGCAAGAGGACTACACGGAAAATCCGGCATCGCCTTGTACTCTCTCTCTCTTCTTTTATATGATCGTCTTTGCGCCCCAGTTCCACTCTTAGTTTTCCCTTAGTGACTTTTTCATCGATTCACGTAAGCCCTCTGAGCTACAGCCTCGTCATTTTCATGAAGATTCTTTGAGCTAGTTGAAATTGTAATATGCCCATTACTCATTCTTCAAGTTATGGTGTGACAGGAATCAACCGGAAGGCAAACGCAAGATTCGTTGATGTTGATATATCCTACTAAGTGTGCTTTTTTAATTGGCACTGGGAAGGAAGTGAACATATTGCTAAATATCCACAAGCCACATTGGAACACAAAATTTACAGTCTTATCGTTATTTGAGCCTACTCTGGGACAATCTGCTCCTGGTCTCCTGTGTTTTGCTTGTTATAGGTATGAAAGATGTTTTGTTCTTTAAGGGGCCTTAGAGACAGTCTTTGGGTTAGTCGAAAAAACAAGATTAAAACACACACAAAAGGCTATCGGACTCGTATTTACAGGATAAAAAGACCTCTGCAGCTGTTTTTCCGTTGCTGATGCTAACATAAACCTCCTGCTTCAAAAACACACTGGCGAATGGTAAAACCTTGTCATCGGCCGATCTATGTGGATTATCCGGTTGCTCAGGTCAGACTTTAACTTTCCCGATTTCCCGTCGGTTAGTCAATCTGAAGCTGACTTAGGCAATGTTCCATGAACAACCTTTTAGCAGCTTATAATGCACATTAACCTCACCTTAAAGGCAACACTTGATTTTCGAATGTGAAGTCACATATGTACGTCCCAAGAAATTGCGTATACTATCTTATCGAACTATTTGGAACCTTGCGTTGTACCCATGCAAGGCACTGTTTCTAGATTTCTAAATAAAGAGTCGCGGAAGCCGACAAATTGGTTTAGGAACTTACAAAGATAAGTGAAGAAGAGGGGCGGTCGAGCACCGGGACATTCTGTTTATTGTTCTGAGCTTTCGAACTCATACAGGAGCCCGTCATTAGAGTTAGTTACAGCAACAGAACAAGTGACAGCTATAGGGCGTGTTAGCCAATCATTGATCGATGGCCCAAGACTGAAGGTGACTTTGCAGTGCTCTGTACGCGGCGCCAGATCGACGAATCGATTGGCTGAGTTCTCATCATAGTTCCAGGCTTCAATCAATTCTCGGCCTGTTTTGCTTCCTGTGTGGACGATTATTTTAGTGGCTGCGAAGTCAAACTCATGACCCATTTCGTAGGTGTAGGCGGCTACTTATGATAATGCGTCGCTTCGTCGCACAGCCAGCTCATGTTCATGTATGCGCTATCCGAGCATGCGTCCAGTCTGGCCTGTGTAGATATAAGGACAGTTTTGGCATGGGATGCGATATACTATTCCAGATTGCTCCTCAGGTTTTTACCGGTCTTTAATTTTCGTGGCCGTGCTGCGCATGGTGGCCTTAGAGCGGTGTGCAAATCCAACACCTAACTCCGTAGCAATGCGCTCGGTTGCTTCTGAAACGTCCTTGATGTATAGAAGAGCATGTGATATCGTTGATGGTGTTGATGCTTGGGTCATCTGGGAGTGACCGCGTAGGCAGTGACTTATAAATGTCCTCAGAAAGCCGTCCTTTCAAGCTTACCATTTAGGTTACGTCTGACGCGTACATCAAGAAAGGGCAAATTACAAAAATGCAGACGACGCCCATAGTAGCAGTCGGCTGTAGGCAAGTTATCTTTCGAGGATTCTCATGCGCCGTCCTGTCATGAATATCCCTTAAAAGGATTTACCAACTTGTTTTCTATGCAGAAAGTCAACGCTCCCATCACATCCTCAATTTCGAGCCTGGAAATTTAAATGTGCCTTTATTATCCCGCCTCTGCCCTACTTTTCGCCTGTAAACTCACCCGCTATGTTAAAAGAGATTGTTTTTAATTTGAAACTTATCCTTCGCATGCTTGCCTACTGCCGGCATTTCCTATCCGTATCTAATTGATACCCAAGTACGACGGCAATTTACGACGGTCAGACATTTTGCTAACTGAATTCCCGATTATTTAGCCCAGCCCCTTAACCTTGGTTAAGTTGATTTCGACCGGAGACAAAAAGTAACGGTCTTTTCTGACCGGCTAGATGTGCGGTCACAACCACAGCGAACAATACAGGAGTTTGCGCTTATTGGATTAAGATCAAATGTCACATATGCTAACTGCTATTACTCTAGACGAACGTATCTCCACTGTGCTGGTTTTTTTTCACAGAAGAACTGTGCAACCAAAACTATTCGCATTTGGGAGCCCAACAGCTCTTCCCCTCTCCACGGACGCTCTCTCCATTACTGGAAACGCAACCCTTGGTTCTCAAAAGCACGTCAAACACTATGCCTACAGAAGTAGGGAGCTGGAAATAGAACTCGCATATGCCGTCCTCCCATAGAAATAGAACAGTAGACGATACCGGCGGGACAAAAAGAGGAAGCTTGTATATTCCTACAAAACAAGTATGCGTTGAGGTGTCCTTGAATTTTCTACGTTTTACTTCATGATAACGAGTGCTCTAAAATCGGTTAGAGGGGTTGAATACACGTATGATACCCAAAACTATATCTCTTTCGATTGGCCACCAGCTACCTGGCTCAGGAGAGGCAAGCAGATACAAAACGTTTAGCATTCACAAGAAAGGAAGATACAGAAAGGGTTCGAACGCAGTCGAATGACAAGCAGTCACCAGGGCACCGGAGCTCTCTTCCAGTGCGAGCAATTTACCCTCACAAGCTGGAAGTTTACCAACATACATCGTGAGCATAAGCCGAAGTCGATGAGAGCTGGGTCTCCGAGGGGTAGTTCTTTGTCCTGAAAATTAGACCGTCGTCTCCCAAGATGTTCACCATGTGTGCCGCGACACGATGGGCGCAGGGAGGATAGTTTGCGCTGCGTCTACCGCATCCTATCTTCCTTTAACCTCCTGGGCCCCATATCAAGACAGAGTCAAGAAAACCGGAGGTGGAATTGAGCGCGGACGACCGGCGCGGGATAGGACTGTGCCTAGACGCGCTACTACACACCCCATACGGCATGCCCAGTAAGGCATGCCGTACCCTGATCTGCGCCTCGTGTTGGTTCCAACTTCCACGTGACCCGTTGTAGGGGTCATAGTCCCCTGTCGCGCACGGTGTGGTCCGTGCAAGTTTCTTTCGACAGGCTGACCGTCTTGCACGCGGGCATGGAGTTTAGTAGTGTGTCCTGACTGTAGAACGGAATGTGGGCGAGTCAAACGACTGAGTTATCATAAACAGGCCAAAAACCGGCAACTGTCATTGACGAAAAGAGTGGTGGACACGCTAGTTGCCATTTCTGGATTGGTAACTACAATCCTGTGGGGCAGAATATATTGTTCGCACGAGCCGGCGTTTATCCAAAAGAATATAAGAACATCTTCCAGCATGGTTAGGAAAGGGTCAAATAAAAAACATCAACAGCTCGATCCTCGCGCACATGGTAGACACAGACCATCGCGTAGACGCCGAAGAGGCCTTCGGAATGATTTACAGGGTCTCATCAAGCTATCCAAAACTGCTTGGGCAGCGCTTGTTGGCTACGGCAGAGGCGGCTGCAATCAGGCTACGCAGACCGGTCCTGTGCGCACAGAAGAACTTCATACAGGTCCCACAAATGCCATGGTTCAAAGCCACCAAGCTAGCCACCCGCGTTTAATTATCTTCGCCGGGACCCACATTCTCCCTGGTGCTGACTGGAATTGTGGTGTTTCACTCTCCCTCTCCCCCTCCCCTCTCAAACCCCGAGCTACAGCTTAATTATCTACTTGCCCGTATCTTTTAATTCATTACTTCAATAGCCCTATCAATTTACAGGCCTGGAGAGAATTTATCGAAAGCAGACGTATGCTCGTCAAATTGTCATTTGAATTGTACAATTAAGTAAATGATTTTGGCTACCCAATAAACAACTTGACGTTCCTTGTTATCAAACTTCATTGGAACATTGCCAGAGATCTCATCGGTAAGCTCATACTCACTATCCGACAAACTAAAGCTGACATCAACAGAATTGACTTCAGATGCCTTCTTCTCAGTCATCCAGCAACACGCCTTTTAGACCTTACTCATCAAAAGAGTTTGGGTCTACAGCGGATCTTAGCGCAAACGTTTTTCCCGTTGCCATTAGCGTTCTCCTCATTTCGGAAGCAACGACATAGATTTAAGATAATATTACCTGCTCGGCGATCTCCATAGACCGTAATTCTCGAAGTCAACACTCATAACGATTTGAGCATAACAGAAATCAACAGCAGCAAAGGTTGCAAGGGTACCTACTTTATTCGAATGTGCTTCTGTCAGCGGAGTCCGTGGGGTTGAGATTTTGTTTACTTGGCGCAAAAGCTCACGACCGGACTATTCTCACTAGTCAAAAGATTAAACGGCAACGTCATTTTGGGTGGAGTAGTTGAATCTGTCGAGGCCGACGTATATGCAGGCCACTACATACTCGTCTCCAAACCTTCGCAAAAAATTAACTAGACTGAGACCAATATAAAACGCATCTTTTGTCTCAGTACCACTCCCTAAGTGTGCCTGATTCTTTTTCGTTTGGGTCTCTCGTTGACTGTCTTGTCTTGCGTGCTACCAAGGGATAAATGCCTGTCCTACTACATCAACGTAACTTTGTAAACCCTTCGCCCACTTTGTAGTTGAACGACTGGCGTTGGCTGCGCTAAAGCCTTCCCCTTACTGCGTGGGTTCGAATCCCACCGAGGCGCCGAGTTTTTCACAGTTGGGTCAATATGAATAAAAGTTTATTATCAAATAAAGGTAAAACTTTGTTTAGTGTCCAGCAGAAACTTCTGTATGGTTTAGGACAGACTGCTTTAATTATTTCCTGTCGTGGACTTGTTTTTTTTCTCCAAAATATGTTGGATTTCCTCACTGGACAGGAATCCAACGTGACGCTTTTTAACTTGACATCTGAAATTCGAAAAAATATCAGGAGTGAGATTTGTGCCGGATACTGTGGTCAGAAACATCTTAATCCTGCCCTTCGGCACACGGCGCTAAATAATTTTAAAATTTCCATTCATTATATTTCCATCTCAACCTATTACTTCTGGTATGGTCTGAGCAAATAGCTAACTTGTAGGCAAACTGGGTAAGCGTTAGATTGAAAAAATAAAACAAAAACAAGTTATACTTATGCGGGCCGAATAATAATCGCCAGCAGATGGCATGAAACTTTTGCAGTGACTATGATGAATACTGTGAGGGCTTTGCGAGTCAAATAAATGGGCCTGTAGTCCTTCGAGAATATCATGCATATGCCCAGTTGGTAATAGTAGTGTAGAAGTTCTCCGGGTCTTCAATGCTTTTACCTGGCATCAGTCTTCGTAATTACATCTCCTCCTCCTCCTCCTCCTCCTCCTCCTCCTCCTCCTCCTCCTCCTCATCATCATCATCATCATCATCATCATCATCATCACTACCAGCGTCATCCTCCACTTCCTTCAATCTTTCCTCTCTCATTCTCTTTCTTCTTACCGACTCTTCGCATCTTCCTTAGTCTGATTTTTCTGTTCCGCCCCTAGCATTTTCGACTATTATTAATTCTAACACTATCGTCGTTACTACTACGGCGACTACTACTGAAACCGCTAGTACTTCAGCAGCAACATCTTGTTCAATCCCTTTTCCAAAAAGGGTAGGTTTAAAAACGAAATTTAGGACAGAAGCCTCCCGTCCAGATGCGATGGGTGTTTCCCACTGATGAAAATAATGTCTCCTGAGTATACGAGCGGCTCTTCGGCTTCCAACTTCGCGGATCAGTGAGCGTCGAAAGCTGGATATACGCCATTAATGAAAGACTCATGACCACGTTGGGAGTTGAGATGCTAAGTTATTTATGCATCGGGCACTTCCGCATCTGCAAACTTTCAGTTTTCGGCCAATCGTTATTGACACACGAACATTAAATCGGCTGATGCGAGGCCTACAGCCAGCGATCAATCTCATGAAAGGTTAGCCGTAATTCAAACTAGCGTTTTAGATTAGGAAGGACCGTGATAATGATTATTTACTGCGAAATAATCCGGTGATATTTCAGACACGCCAGGACATCGGCTTTTAAATTCCCCCCTTTTCGATCGTCTGCAAAAACCGCACTTAGTAAAAAATGACTGCTTAATTAGTAGGCATTTTATCCATAGATTTTCGACACCCTTGTAAATTCAGATATATTTTACAAAAAACTCCATAGAAATATTCTCTCTTGTACTCATTTGGTGACAACCAATGTCTTCTTCAAAATGCATACTTTAAGAAGGTGTATCTTCTGGTTTGTAAAGTTTTCTAATTTCGGAATTATTTTGAGCTCGATCTGCGGTAGCATTTTCGTTTAGGGTCTTCACTCAACAAGCAGTATACCTTCCTGTAGGGAAAAACACATTCTTTTATGCTATTAGCAGAAAACCATATGAAACTCATAAAATGCATCAGCGGATTTGGACTATGTCGCATACTTGACAAGGAGCATTTTTGAATAAGCAGAAACGATGGTATTCGAATGGACATTGCATAGGCCTACAAATCCCATAGTTGGAAACTTTTTTAAACCGAAATGTATCTTTACTTCAAGTACAAAATGTGAAGACGTGAGGTCCTATCAAGTGAGCTATAGAATGAATATTTTGAGCACATTTTTTTGTAAAATATTATCTAGTTTACATGGGCATTTAAAGTCAATACAGCTAATGCACACCACTTAAGTAGCCACCTTTTGCCGAGTGCAGTTATATCCAAAAGCCAATATCCTGGAGTGTCTGAAATACCATGGGGTTACGCCACAACATAACCAGCATTACAGCCCCTTTTAAGAAATCCTTCATAAGCGAAAAGCATTTCAGAGGTTCGTTTAACGTCATACGAAATCGGTCACAGACTTTCTGTTTGATGGCAAGCGAAAATTCCCAGTAAAACTAATGGAAAGTATTCATCTACAAAAAATAAAAAGTAGGCATTATGAAGAGCATGTAAGGTACCACTTAAACTCTTCAGACTGAGAGCTGAGCATTATACTAAGGGGTTTTCCCCTTAGGTTTCCCTCTTTGAAGTTTTTTGCCAAACAGCAAGTTCGGGGATATTTGGTCTTCGGGTTGGTTTTATCTGTAAGACAAGTTACAAAAGGGCCGGTTGATACGTCGGAAAAACTGCCCCCGTTTAGTTTCCTATGCAAAGGTGGACACCCTCCGGCGGTGGTGAGTTTAAAAGAACTTATAGCAAGAATGTGACGACGGACTCTGTTATAAAGTGGAAAATAATTTAACTAATTGCATGAGAATATTGTTTCTTAATTAGGAAATCGCTAAGCAATAGAAACAGGAGACTGGACGAAAACCCCACGCATCCACGAAGTGCCATCTGCAAGACGCACAAAGATGGGATGAGCGGAAATGTCGAGCATAGTTCGGCAAATGGAGAAACGTTTGCTGAATCTGTGTTTTGCTAAACTTTTCGTCACATTGAAAAGGAAGGGAACGAAAATACGAGGAACGGTAAACAAAGCACGGCCGCAAGCGTTCACTATGAGAAACGTGTTCAAGACATGATGGGAACCATGCAGTCCGAAATAGCTAAATGATGAAATTTGTGTGAGAATACATTTAAGGGGGGCTGGACGCAACTTTTTCACCAATTGAAACATCTAACATCTTCCGACAGTTTACGTTCTGGTTCATTAGGCTTCTAAAAGCCTCAGTTAACAAAAAAGGCGATATTGCGCGCGTTCCCTCATCTTTCCTGTCTGCTGCACAGTTATATTTGATGTCCTTTTGCAATAAAAGGACAACTTCTTTTTAACCTTCATCATAGGGATGCAAGGACGTGAATCAGTCACATGTACTCTGGAGGAGGTAGCCCAGATTCTCACCGACGGTCAGCCCAATCCGCACTAATCCCCTCTCAAGGTGTGAATTAGTCTCGTCCAATGGTTTTCCGGTGTATCTGCCGTCATCATTCAGCCACACCTGAGTACCAGGCAGCAGAGCACGGAGGTTAAGGCAACGTTCAGATGGGCTCTGGTTATGAATACTTATGCGCTCACGCCTGATAGACCGTGATCATATTTACTCGAAGTCATATAAGATTATCCCACGACGATCTCTTCTGATTGCAGAGCGGAAAACTGGCATTTTGTTCTGACTGGCGGCTCCGGCCTAGAGCCTCTGAGGGCGACAACATGTAAAAGAGGAATCATTAAACCATGCTTCTTGCAGAGCACAAAAAAAGAGGAACCGAAGGGTCACTTCTAGCCTAACTGTCGCCATTAACCAGACTGGGAAAGTCCGCGATGTGGAACTCGGCCCTGTTGGCAATGGCGAAGAGGCAAATGCGAGGCCGAAAAGGATGTTTAAAACTGGGGACTCGCAGTCTTTATGCCTTACGGTACAAAATTTGTAAAAAAAACTTTTTGATCATTTAACGCAGTCGAGTAACAGTTGTGAGTTTAAACAGAGTAGAAAAGAGAAACGGTCCGAAAATGTACGCTCTGGCGTAAAATAAATATCTTATTCGTGTACATTGTTCATTGCATATTGCTCGCACTTGAACACCACCAACTCAACTTGGACACATTTAAAGGGTACTGACCGCTACTTCGGAGTCACCACTTGTACGAAGGAAATTCTCAGCATTTGCACTTATCCCCCTTTACGTCTCCAAAGTTTAAAGCAGGGAGGGGTGGGGGGGGGGAGGCTACAGAATCAGTGCATGGGTCTTAACTGTTGTTCTAGCGCGCCGCACTTTTTTCTTGCAACCGTCCACTCATAAATCTCATGAAACGAGGAGGGGACAGGTAAATATGTATTGCCTATGAGTGTTTAGAAGGGGGCCGTTTACTGTGTCGTCAACTTGTTGTCTATGAGGTAAGGATGTACTTTACTTTCCGACAGTACCCTTCGTCTGTTTATACAACAGAAGACACGCTAATTTGGACATTGTCCTTTCCTAGGAGAAGTTGATCGCCTAAAAATTAACCTAATTGGTGGATTTTACCAACAAATAACTAACCTTCCAGATTCCAAAAATGTATCCATCTGGAAGCCAAGGCCAACGTTAATGAAAACTTTAATCACTAAGGAGATCGAAGCATTTTATTAACAAATTTCAGGAAATAAAAACGTTGGTGACTTTCTCTTCCTAACGAATATTTTTGTATTGCATCAGGATTCAGTTCCTTGGTCAATATTACCCTCTGGCTCAGGGGAGCATGCAGAATAACCCCTCGAAACCACGAATTTGATGAGGTCGTTGATGAGCTGCTAAAGGAATCTCCACAAAAACCAAGTCCTGCGTCTCAAATTGTTCATGAGCCTGAAGTTTGCTACTGAAGGCAAAAGCGTATCGTTAGAGGAACTAAGGGGATGCTGTCCAGACGCCGATACCCGCAGAGTTCGACTAACACGTAGATCGAACTAGGGATGTCACCATTTAGAAGGGACAAGGAGCAGAGTCTTCTCCCACCGCAGTGAGGTTTTAACTGATAGTGACGGACGAAAATGTTCTATTTTTTTCGCGTGTTGATTGACAGCGCTGTGACCAACAAAGTAAGCACTTATACTACGGAGAAAATATGGCATCCAACGGAGACTATTTCGGAGCCACAAAACTTTGATTCATGTAGATGTGTCTGCGGCCCTTCAGACCGCTCTCCTTCCCAGCTTTGATATGAAATAACGGTCAGGTGTAGATATGCGACCCCACCGGAAGTAACCAAACACCGGCCACCTGTAATACGGGACCGATAGTGATAGGGGGTTTTACAGGTGGGGCCGGGGAACGCACAGGGGACGCGGTCAAGCCATTGGGAACGCGCGGTTGTACTTTGAGTGGTTTGGAAATAGTTGCCTTAACCCCTAACCCCAAACCCCAACTCTAACCCCTGACGCTAGCCCCTAACCTTAACGCCTAACCGTAACCCCTAACTCTGACGTTTAACTCGAACCCCTAGTCCAAAATCAAACAGTATTGGGTCCATTAGGCGGGGCTCCATAACCACGTCTTGCCGAAATGACAACTCCAACTAATGAAAGCTATGATTGTCTCACCATCTGCCTTTCTCAGACTTTCTTTAAAATCTTCTCGGTCCTTAGCTAGCATGTCCGTGGACCACTCTGACAGGCTGACCCCAGACCCTAATGGCCTCATTGAATATCATGTTATGTCGAACTCTGCGGGTATCTCTGTCCGAACAGCACCCCCTTAATTCCACTAACGATACACTTTTGCCTACAGTGACAAACTTCAGGCTCGTGCGCATTCAAAGACGCAGGACTGGGTCCTGGTGAAGATTCCTTTGTCAGCTCATCAACGACCTCATCACATTCGTGGTTTCGAGGGGTTATTCTGCAGCGTCGTGTGTGCATGAGTTGTGCGCGAGCAAGTGGGAGGAGTGGCTGGGCTGCAGCGGCAAGACCAGCAAACGAATAAATTATCAACCTTATATCGCTGTTGTAAATGAAACGCACCCTGCATGAATTCAGTTTGCCTACATATAAATCGTAAGCAAGGAGATGGCTGCGAACGGCGCATGTTCAAAGTCTGTGAGATGTATTACTGACTGGAGGCCGTAGGACCGCTAAGAATAGCAACGTAAACCACAACATCTTCTAATAACTAAATACTATTCACTGGTCTTACCCATACAGGTGCGCACCACATCGAATCATAGCACAGGTTGCGAAACTGTCCTCCTCTTCGGCGTTTGCTTTCTTCTCATTTCTCAGACAGCAACGTCGCACGATTTTGGTAATATTTTTGACATTGGTGTGGTATGACTTCCACATACCGTTCGTCTCTTTCAAGCAATCTCCATATACTTTAGAACAAAACATCAGACATTCCTTGAAGGTCTCCAGGTGGCTGGGTATGCTGGAATCTGGAACTTGTGCTGCCAACAGGGCACTGAATACCACGAGCAGAGTCAGGGAAAGATGCATTCCTCTAAATTCTAAGCAGGGAAGAGGGTCTTTGGAACAAAGCGGGAACAGGAAGGCCTTATATAATTTACTGGATTCTTTTTTCACCCTCACCGGAAGTCGAATGAAGGTCAACATAACTGCTGTTGTCTGGTCGTGTTTATGCCTTGTGTTCATTTGATGGACAAGGCCTTAGGCAACTATTCCTGTTGTCACCGACTGAAGTCACCATTGCGTACAGATGTGTACAGATGCGGGTGAATCACTGTCAATTATACTCGTAAACGAGAAACACATTCTTCCGACGTCAACAACACCGGCGCTTCACGGGCTCATCACGGCTTTAGTCCCGTGTGTTATGGCAGTCGGGGGATTTTTGAATCAGCAGCCAGCGTCTGACATGGGCGTACTGCCGCTGAAGAGTGGAGGCTTTAACTACCTACAGGAGTGTTAAGGAAGCTCTCCAAGAGATCTCGCGTGAGTTTTACATTGCGACAACGCCTATGCCGATAAAATGTGTGGGATAATTTTACCAAAAGGCCTTTTATATCACCTAAGAGGTGGGGAAGCTGTACAAAGAAATCAAAAAAGGTGCTCTGCTCAAAATAGTACACAGGGAAAAGTTACCTTCTTCCCGTAGCCTACCACAATCGGTAAATACTTACTGATGAAAGCCAACTAAGGAGGAGAAATCACCAGCTGTCCTCTTACTCGTCGGGCACGGGACTATGGACCTCCGTATTACAAGTGACCTTGTCCCAAGTTCGAAGGCGGTTAAGGTTAGGGTTATGTGGGTCAGTATTAGGGTTAGGGCCAGGAGGGTTGGGGTCACGGCAAGTGTTAGCGTTAGGACTGGTTTTAAGACACGAGAAGAAGTACTCCCCGTAACTTAGTGAAAGAAATGTAGTCCAGGAGAAGGGTTCGTAGTCTCGTGTGCGATCGAAATTGCCCTCTCTCGTTCAGATGGCTTAATAGAGAAACCACTCTTCTCGCTGGGTGCCTGTTTCCGAATGCTATCGCTTTTTGAAAAATCTAATGCTGGGATGAAATTTAGGTTGATAGGAATAAATTGAAAAAGACTATAATCGAGTCAAGTGTCTGGAAGATATTTTCGCCAGGGTAACCGTCACTGACTTACAAAGCTAATATACCCCGAGATCTCTTTTAGAAGGCTGACGGTGGAGATTTATTTACTGTAATGACTATCAGTTATGAACGACACTTGTCCCACAGTGTTCCTTGAACAACTGTAAACGTCGTCTGCAGACGTATATGCTGGATTATCATGGGTAAGGCAACAGGTCTACTCAAAAATAAGGTCTTCTATCTGTAAATGAAAAAGACATAAACACATACGAAGTGAAATAGCGAAGTATTGTCTACCTGAAATGAATTTGGACCAAATAGAGATGGCGAAAAATACAGAATTTCATAGCGCCATTGACTTTTGTGACCTCTTGTTTATAAATACGCAACAATCATGCACATCTGAACAATAGGCAACACAAATGTATGGTGTGATTTACACTAGTCATGCTTTGCGTATAACAAACGCATGGCTTCATTTGGACAAAAAATAAATAATATAAGATCCTAACGAACCAAGTAATTTTGACGAGTGTTTGTTTCTTCTGTTAGGGGGCAAACCCATTTCAAGTTGTGCTAGGTAGAACGAAATTGGTGGGTTCCCCTCCATCTGAGATACAGCATTTGCGCTAAGCTGATGACAATTGCATGTTTGTATGTTGAGTCATCTTAACAGCTACGAAGGCAGCATCACACACATAGCGATGTAAAGCAGACTGAAAATGTTTACTCTGTTGCTGATATCATCAGCTTGGGTACCTGTGGGCTTGCTTTTAACAATCGGCAGCCAACAAATGTTTCAAATGATGCGTCTGTTGAACGCAAGTGGATCAAAAGTCCCACATTTCGTCCAAATCTCATTCTCTTGCTTCGATCAGAAGAAACGTGTCTCACATGTTAACCGTTAGGGGGGTTGATCCACCGTGGCCCAGCAGTGACTCAGTCCCTTGGATTTATGAACACTAGACTACTTTGATAGTCGCGAAGAAATCTCTCATCACATCACGCTGCGTATGCCCCTAGATCTCCTAAACTCTGCGCGTTGGTCGGTCATTTTGCATCATCAGTCTCTGTTGTGCTAATATTCGGTGCCGGAAGTATGAGGGATTGTTGGATTTGCTGTTGTGGGAGATGCAACCTATTCTCATAATGCAACAGATTGCACGTTAACTCGTCCTTATCATACAACCGCTTCTGGTGCAAACGGTATGCGCAGCCAAGTACTGGATGGTGTCCCGCAGCTCTCTCTGCACTGGGCTTCGAGGCAACGGCAGCGTGAAGGACCCCACTTCAATGTCGGTGGACTGTGGATCGTGCCGTATGAGACCTTATCTTGGCATCCATCTGCAGGCCGTTGCAGACATGACACTGCCAACAACAAATACTTCGCATGACCCCAAACCATTACTCAAATTGTAATTTTTTAAAATTTGCTTTTTTAGTTAACGCGCTCACTTCCGTTGCCATACGAGGACATACAATAAGACTTTCGGCAGAAATCCGAGCAGTTTATGTGTTTTTTCTTGCTCTTCGTCAACTTACTGTCTGACATGCTGCCTTGTCCGTAAAACCCTCAGTAACACCATTCCCGTATGACAGGATCCACAGTCCACCGACAATTAATTGGTGTCCACCCTGCCGGTTTCGACAGCGCTATGCGTCCTCAGGAATTTCTTTTGTCCCAGGTTGAAATGCGTGCTGTTGCTAATATTCATTCAGCGTTCACTCGTATCAAGTAATCCAGTATTTAACTTGCCTGATTTTGACTATTCACAGGCGTTTCCTCATAGACATAGGAGCCCAAATCAGTGTGGTCCTTCACAATCCAGCCGACTGCCCCTGCACCAACTCTGGCCTTCACCTCCAAGCTGCCAACTGTTCCCCATTCCCACATTTAACAGCCTGTCCCCCCACACCGAACAACGGCCTTCGTCGTTGTTTGCCTTGGATATTTGTGATTGCTGATGTCCCTCATGCCATTCTCGGCTCGGACGTTCTAGCCAAGCTTGCTCTTCCCGTGGACTGCCGGCGTGCCCGACTGCTTGACCGCACGACTGACCTATCTGACTCCCCTTACAACCTACAACTCTGCTCTAGATACAGATATAGCTTGCCCTTGTCAGGAGCTCCTCCTTTGACTCTTTCACCCCG